CTTAATGCTGATAAATATAAATCAATATCTGACCGAGCAGCTTTTCTCACTAGTTGCTCACATGGTTCAACGTAATTTTTCACCTGTCTGTTGTTGTGGGGAGGTAGCAGGGACTAGAGTAGAGGTGTAAATTCTAATTTAGTGTCAAGTGCTTGACTTAGATCTCTTGCGTGCTAGCAGTCTTCATGCTTTATCAGTTGTTAGATAAACTGTTTTGTAAAGCCAGATCTAATATGTCTTTTCATGGTAAGCTGTAGTATCTTCTAGGAAGGCTGCACGAGGGAAGTGAAAAGATCTGTTCAGAGTAGTAAGGAGGTCCATAGCTATTCTTTAACATGACTAATATTTCCTGAACTACCAAAACAATATCTTCCACTTGATTTCTACATTTCTGCAAAGGCGTAAAGCCTTAATATTGCTGCACATCTGAATACAAGAAAAAAATACATCTGGCTCATCACTCAAGTTTATCAGACACCAAGCAAACCTACTGTAATCTTTATAACATATTTTTCCCTTTTCTTTCCCCCCCTATGGCCTTTTATAATCACCATCTTTCTAACTCAAAAATAAATTAATTCTAGTTTGTTGAACTAGTAAATGCATTTGAGAACAGCCTATTTCGGGTACTCTGCACTAGTAACTTTACTTTCTGCCTTCACATTTCCACCCTGATTTATTGCTTTGGCTGTCAGTCTGTCTTGCTTCTTGCAATTATTCTATTTGTTATATGAAAAACTGTGTTTTTGTCTTTGCTCTAGTGCTGCTTTACCTTGGATCACCTCTTGAAGAGGCTACTGAAGTTGTGCAAACCTGTATTTTGCCCATCTGTGCATGGTTGTTGTAATAGTTGACATCATCAGCACAGAAAAATATTCAGCATTGGCATTGTCACTCTTTTTATCTCCTTGAAAGCAGTAGGAATCATTTGTATTACATAATTATTTTAAGCTTGTATCAATAGTCTGCCTAATGTACCAGGCTTAATGAGATGAGAACTGCTGGTCAAGCTGGGATGCCCCATTACAAACTTGCCTGCACAGCCCCAGACTGATATAACCACGGCTGGAAAGGATATGCAGTGGCAGTAGCAACTAATGGATCTAGCCCCAGTCTGCTATCAAAAGTGCTAATTTCCAGGGATTTGTCTCTTCTTCTTCCATGTTCTCAGCAGCTCTGGAGAACTGCTTCTCATGTGGGCTGGTAGGTGTGAAAAGAGGACAAAAATGGCCAAATCCCAACCCAACCCAAGAAATATCTGACCTGTCCCAGTCCCCTTAACTTACCTTGATACTAACTAGGCCCCACAATACCACCCTTGCCTCCCAATCGTCTTGTTCCCTCACTGACACCTCTTCTTGCTTGGCTAAGAAAAGTTTGTACCTCTGGGTCAGGCCTGTCTTTGAGCAAGGACTCATCAGTCCCATCTCTATTCTTTGCCTTGTTAAAATAATCTCTGCTGCCTGGAAAATGTTTGTTGGTTCTTCCTCTAGTCTCCTGTTTTTCCAGGAAGTGCATTACTTGATGAGACATGCCCTCGATGTGATCTGGGCTACTCTTTTCGCAGATGTGGCAGTAGTCATTGTAGAGGTTTTCTTCAAATGTACAGGCCACATACACTCTAGATTTCTCTAGGAGAAATATGCCAGAATCAGTGCCCAATGTAAGAGCTGATATCCTGAATGTAAGCATTTTCCAGCATAAGCTGATTTTTGCTGCATGTCAAATTTTCCTTGCTTAGTCTGTACGTGAGCCAGGCTGCATCTATGCTGACCTTAACTGACAACACCAGTGGGAGAACCCATGTGCTCTGAGCCACTGGCTATGGCACAGCTCTGACCACACAGTAAAACATTTAACTCTCATCTCCCCTAGGATCCATTTGATGTTTCTATAACCCTGGGGTAAAACTAAGTTTTATCACATGCTTGCTCGCTTGCTTGTTTGTTTACTTACTTGCTTCCTTCCTCCCTTCTTCATCTCTCTCGCTCTTTCTCTCTTTGTTTTTTCCTTTGTCTGCCCACTCTTTTTTTCACTTGAAATAATGAAAGGCTTGTGTTGTAGCTCTTTCGTGGTATTTTCTTGCCATGAGCACAGAAGATGTGTTACATACTTAAGGGCATTTTCAGATGCATTGCTGGCTGCAATAGTGTTACTAACTACCTGCGTTCACCACAAATCTATATTGTCTGTCTTGTGTGCTCAAGCTTGTTAACTTATCATTTGGGTCTAGGATTCCTAAAGAGAAGAGCCGCATGTTTGCTGCAGGGTAAGCCTGGAACCATATCGGTTTGTGTGCCATGTGAATGGGTGAGGGAATAAGGGCATGGAGGGGGAGATATAATTACCCTGCACTTTGGGAAGAATGGGAGACGCTCTAGGCTTAGTTTAGTTACATGATCCTGTCTCACTTCTTGTGCTCCCTCATTAGGAACATGTCTTACAGGTGTTTCATTAGTACGTGGAATAAAATTATACAGTTTTATAATGGTATATGCTCTATTCAGACTCCTCTAGCTGATATTAGTGAAAGTGTATCAAAGACAACCACTGTTAAAAATAAAACTACCAGAATTAGCCAAATGCAAATAGTGGAGGTCAGCATTGAACTAAATGGATAGGATAGGATAGGATAGGATAGGATAGGATAGGATAGGATAGGATAGGATAGGATAGGATAGGATAGGATAGGATAGGATAGGATAGGATAGGATAGGATAGGATAGGATAGTTCCATTGGAAGGAACCTTCAAAGATTACCAAGTCCAACTGCCTGACCACTTCAGGGCTAACCAAAAGTTAAAACATAGTATTAAGGGCATTATCCAAAAGCCTCTTGAACACTGTCAGGCACGGGGCATCAACCACCTTGCTAGGAAGCCTGTTCTAGCATTTGATCACCTGCATGGTAAATAGTTTTTTCCTAATATCCAGTCTGCACCTCTCCCTCTGCAGCTTTATGTCATTCTGTTGTGTTCTGTTGTTGGTGACCAGAAGAGACAGGTACCTCCCTCTCCATTTTCCCTCTTTAGGAAGGTTGCAGAGGGTAATGAGGTCACCTCTCAGCCTCCTCTTCTCAAAACCAGACAAACCAAGCTCCCTCAGCATTTCCTCACAGAACATGTCTTCCAGCCCTTTTACAAGCTTTGTTGCCCTCCTCTGGACTCTTCTGGGTACTTTAACAACCTTTTTGTATTGTGGAGCCCAGAATTAGTTGGTAAGGTCCCAAAATAGGACAGTCAGGGATTGCAAACAGGAGACAGGCGAAGATGTGGGAAGAAAGAAGCATGAAGGAGTTAAGAGATGAAGCACATATGGATTAGAGACACGGGTACAGGCTTTGCATTGGTCTCCGTTGGAGTGGCTAGGAGTATTTCTGCAGTGTACAGAGACATACATTTTAGTGTTTGCAGGGTGTTTGTGGTTTGACCTGCCTAAAGACACACGTATAGGAACAGCTCTGATCAAGCTGTCTCTCTATATATAATCTACCCTTCAGGCAGGCAAATCAGGTCTTCCAAAGAAGTGCCTTAAGCTGGTAAGTCTGCTTGATGTCAGCTGAAACATCTGCTGAAACTTTTTTTTTTTTTTTTTTTTAGTGGAAAATGATGATGGTGGTACTAGAGGTGACGTGCTGAACCCATCCCCACTACACGAACTGTGTGCTAGTGAATTCTCTTCTGATGTGGCCCAAAATCCCAAGACAGATAAAAAATCTCAAGGGTGGGCTCTTGGCAAGCTGTCACCCAAAGGCAGGCTTCTGATAAACGTTAAGAAAAGAAGTTGTGCATGCTGATGATCAGGGCAGACGTGGATACGATGATTTGAAATCAGTTTGCATAATAAAGCTTTTTCTCTTCTTCCTTTTATCCCTCCCAAATTAGCTTCTAGATTCTTCTCTAAAATTATTCACCCTGAACATGGAAAGTAAGTGGTGAATGCTTGCCACTAACCCTTCCTAACACTCACAGGTTATTTGTAGCTTCGCCTCCAGCTGCCTGTGTGGAGCCATCCTGAATTTCTGCCACCTCTTGACACAATGCCTTCAAGGTTGGGATATCTCCTACCTTTGTTTGGAGGTTCATTAGAGCACTTTTCCTTTGCCGTCCTGCTCAAGGCCTGCTGTGAGTACAGCAACAGCTGTGGGTGCTAAGGATGTGAGTCCTTCAGAGGTAAACATTCATGCATGGACAGGAGCTGTCCCTCAACAGCTTCAGTCCTGCTAGAGGAAGCAAGAGTCCTGCCCGAACATTACATCTGGTTTGATTTTTACCTTGACCTATTTATTCATCAATTTTTCTGGCTTTGGCATGGCGCTCTGTTGCACACTTCTCCTTTTTTTTTTTTTTTTTTTTCCCCACATTGCCAATGTCAGAGGTCTACCACAGAAAGCAAGAATGACGGTGTACATGGAAACCAAATACAACTAACTCAAGGGGAAGTGAGGGGATCACAGCTTTCTGGAACTGTGTGTACGTGTATGTGTGGGAGGGACTGGGGGGATGGAGCATCTCTCCTGTCTCACCGAGGAAGAGAACCACAGGTTCCCTCTCAAAACATTTTAACCCAGCTTTTCCATCAGCAGGAATATCACTAAACCTGAGAGAGGACTTTCCTTCTCAGTTCAGTTTGTTAGTGGAAGGAAGGAGCAAGACCTACAGTACACATCACATAGCGGGGGGTGAGGGAGGGAAAAGAAGAAAAAGACACTCTTCTCCCCGGCCTCCATCAACAACCCTCCAATTCTGGAGCATTCACCCACCCACAGCCCGCTGCAGAATTAATGCAGGAAGAATCTTTCCTTTAAAATGAAACCACTTCCTGAATCAGATGGGTTTTCTGAATCAGGAACTTCCTTTTATCCTCCTCTCTCGCTGGAGGATCCCAGACAAAATCCCAAGGTACCGTCACTGCTCATTTCAGTCCCTTCAAACACAAATGTGGGCTCAGATGTTCTCCCCAAAAGCTGCTGGGGTGGATTTGCATTGCATATTTGTGGATTTGCATTGCAGAAGTAGCCAAGGAGCCTCTGCTAGGTCAGAGCAGCGTGCACACACAGCTTCCTTCACTGATACAAGCTCATGAGATGTGGTCGGACGGACGAGGAGGGGAAGGGAGGAGTCAGAGGGCAACCCGCCCCCCCTAAAGCTGCTGCGATTTTGGTCACTGGCTCCAAGTCGTTTCAGTTCTGTGAAGCATCTGAGCAAGCAGAAGGCAAGGAAGAACACCTTTGTGGAAAACACGTTGGGCTCTTCAGGATGGACTTTTCTCCTGCTGGTAAGCCTTGACCACCTTTTGTCTCTTTTTCTGTGAGGGCTGTGCACCCAGTTTGACGGGGCAGAGCACACCGTGAAATGCCAGCAGTGAAAGTGAATGCTGCTGCTGGTGGCAGGAGGAAAGAGATGGTGGAAGATCCCTGGTGGTACCGTTACTTGCTTGGCAGCCTTGAGCAGCAGGTTTTGCTTTTTCTTGCTCTTTTGTGAGGAAACTCCTTCCAGATCTGGAGAAATGTTCCCACTGACCCGAATGTCTCTTGTGCTCAGAGTGCCTACTGTGCTGGTGATCCTAAGCTGAGCAGACTCGGGGATATCAAGGGTTTGTGCAACACTTGGGATGAGCACCTCTAAGCTTTGGCTTCTCTCCATGCAACTTTGGCATGGCTTGCAAGCTCCTTTGTGGTGTTTCCCTACAGCCTGCAGAGGCTGGCTTGCATTTGCAGAGTGTCTCATGCAGTTGGGTGTCCCAGTGCAACAAGCTCGCTGGTCTTTTGGCACTGGTAGCCTCTCTTGCTTATGTTTGTCAAAGGTTAGTGACTATATTCGGGTTCTAACACCTGAAAGTGGCCTGCAGGTGGGCTTGACTTGTCCTGAAATAATCTAAAAAAGCAGGCGTGGGTGGGGAAGGTAAGCCACATCTGAGGAACTGAGAGAGATCTTGGGTTTTATTTCCTAGTTTGGCAGATGGTGGATAAAGTGGTAGGGATTCAGCAGAGAAAGGGATTCTACTGGACTGAACATTTTCAGCCTCCTGAAGCTCTGTGCATCCGTATGTCTGAGAGTGGGAAGGACAGAGGCTGAACAAGGGCCAGGAAGAAAAGGGATCATCATGGAATGGCTCTGATGTGTCTGATCCTCTGTCCTAGCCAGCTCTTGTGTGTAGGTAGTGGAGCAGAGAATGAAGGGGAAAAAAAGCAGTGCCCACTTTGAACAACTCTTCTGCACCTTTTAGCTCCTTAGTCAAAAGAAAACCAGCATGATCAAAACGTGTACCAGGCTTGCTTGCCAGGGAAATTGGTAGGACCAATTTCTGGCAGAGCTCTTGTCAGCATCTGGCTATTCATGTCGGTGAAAGCAGGGCTCTTTGGGTCACCTGGCCCTCACCACCTGAAAACCATGGTGGACAAAGCTGCTGCAAGACAAACCAGGCAGGAAGAAGTGGGATACCTTATGTTTTGCTTCTTCTTTTGGAGTGTGCTTTCTGCAGAAACGGAGGCCCTCAGATCAGATGATGCCACAGTCATTCACCCAAGGTGTGAATTACCAAGCTATTTGTCTTAAATTTGCATGCTGCGCTAGTGCGGTGGGGTTATGCACTTCTTCACACCTCTCCCCCCTGGACTGTGCAAATTCTATCTCTGTGAGGTCCATTTTGAATTTCTTCTGGCAGCAGCTGGTGGAGAACTGTGGAGTAGCTGCAAGAGGGAGACAGATTGGGTGGGAGCAGACTGAGGAGCTGGAGAGCTTCCTGCTACTGACCTGGCACCAGTGTAGGTGGTGGTCTGCACGGGAGATGACACAGAAGCTGTATTAATAAAAATAAATAAGTGAATAAATAAAGAATTGAGGTGAAATTCTTCCACCAGACAGCTTCACCCACGTGGGAGGTGCCCACCAGGATGCTCTGCTTGTGTGTTGCTGTGGGTAGGTGTTCCCAAACCCTTCAGCAGCCACACTTGGAGTGCGCTTATGGGCCTTACCATGCAAATGGGCCAGCTGAACCTCTGCTGTGGGTGGGTAGCACATGGATGGTCTGTAATGGTGCTACAGACACATTCTTGATAACCTTCTGCTGCTGTTTCTGCAGTCCATCCTTCCTGGGTGCTCACTTCCCACTACTATTCTCCAAGTGCCACATTCTCCATTCATGTACTTTTGCCTGGGATTGAAGACTTAGCACGTGGGCAGCTCTGCACAGCCCACGGCTATGGGAAATGAATTCTTTGTTCTTCTCTTTGCTGGTCACCCAGACTTTTGGGTAACTTCAACCTGCCCTCCAGATGGGGAGGCCGAGGCCATAAGTCTCCACAACAGGAATTGAAGTCTGTGCTCTGTTTTGAGAAACAGCACCAAGAATACAAGCCTGGGCAATTCGCGAAGAACTGGCAGGTCTTCAAGACCTCAGCCTCAAGGTGTAAGTCCCACAAGTGCCGTGCTCATGTGCATTCCTTTCAACATTCGCTCTCTGAAAACAAATTTCAAGCAGCAACTTCAAGTCCTCTCTGGAGAGGATGCCAACCAGCATCGACATTGCGTGTTGTGCATGGACTTACAGACTTCATAATGGCAGCATCCCCCCGAAACTTGTGGGTGTTCTTCATCAGTGTGAAATTTCCCTTGTGCAGAGAAGCCTGACAAGGGCTATGCTTCATCTGTGTCCTGATCTAGCCCTAGAGGGAAGTGGAACTTGGTGGTCGTGAGGGCTTTGACAGCTCTGAAAGCTGTTCCCCAGCCCCCAAGGTGCAGGGCTGAATTCCCTGTGCCATTGCAAGGGGCTGGAGTAAACCAGGCAGTGGTTGACTCAGAGCCTCCCTCTCCTGCTGCTGTGGCTCATTCTGAAAGTGGAGAAGGAAGGAGAGGCAAGGCAGGCTGCTCCTAGTCACTCATCTGCTGCTTGCCCAGCTGCCTCTGCTGCTTTCTGTGCCTTTCTGTGGACAGTTCCCCAAATGAGCCTTTTGCATTCACTTCCCCTAATTGTAGACCCCAACGCATACGGTACAGTTGATGAACAGCCTCAAAATAGCCTTCAGCAGAGCATTAGGCCTTCTGTTAGGGAAGCAGAGCAACGTGCAGGAGCTGACCTCATAATTATTTTCTGAGGAAATCAGAGACTTAAGCTGTTTAGGAAACATAGGAAACCTTACAAGCACCCTCTGTGCAACTCTGTGTAAATCACTCTCAAATTTTGCTCCAGGCATCGTTTTCCTTCCTATTTCACCCCGTCTTATCTCTTGATTCCCTCCCCTTCTTCGTGACTCACAGGCTTCTTCTCATCCACCCTCCCCACGCACAGCCTTTCCCACACGGTTCTCATTTTGACACACCGGACAGGTAAATCCCTTGGGGTTTTCAGAGGTTTGGGAAGAAGGGGGACAGAGTTATTTACGGTCTCGGTGGAGGTCGTTTGGGTGAGACGATGCCCTCTGGGAGCCTCAGGTCTCTTTGAGATGCTTTGGGCTGCTTCAGCAGACAGGGAACAACTGAAGCAAAGCAACCAGCCACACCACAGACTTTGTGCATGGGGTGAGGGGAAGGAGAGGTTCCTCAGGTAAGTCCTGCTGCAGTGGTTCATTGGAAAGAAATACGTGACAAAGTGTCTGAGCGAGAACGTGACAAATAATTCCATAATTACCGGGCCCTACATGGGTGAGGGAAATAAAGCTGAGGAGACTGAGAGGCTGGCTTCATCTCCTGCAGACTCCAGACCCAAAGTAAACTGAAAGACCCAGGCGCTGCTCACAGGCAGGACTGACGTTCAAGGGGAAGTCAGCGACGTGCCTGATGAGCAGCAAAGCCGCTGCTGTGCTGCGAGCTGCCGAGTGACATGGGTTTTCCTCCTCTCTTGACCATCCTCAGCAGCGGACAGCTTCTTTCAGCTCTTCGTGAGAGCTGCCCACAGAGCTGGGAGGGGACGTGAGCCTTTGCCACCCCTGGTTTCATGCTGTCTGCTTGCCCAAGCAGTGCTGCAGCCTCTCCCCTGGGAATGCAATGCTTGAAAGCGGCTGCAGGAGCCATGGGGAGAGGCTGCAGCCTGAGAAAGGTGAGAGCACAGCTTTGTGTGATTTAGCTCATGGAAACCCAACCAGCCAGGAGGATGGGGGAAAGATCACAAGGCAGGTCACTCTGAGCTGTTGTGTCCACGGCAGGAAAGAAAGATACGGACTCCAAGATGACTGCCTTTGTCCCCTTTTCCTTTTGTCTCTCTTGGCTGGTTCCTTCCCCTTTTTCCCCACTCATATTTATAGCAGTTGTTTTGCATGTGAGAGCCACACTAAGAGAATTTCCAAGGCAGCTGGTTCCACTTCCTCTTTTTCCAGGAAGACAGGAGGCCCAGGGGATTTTGGCTTATGAAACAGTGGAGCAGGGCATCCATTAAGTTGCCCTGACTTGCTGGGGAATCTCTCCTCTCAGTGCTCAGACTGCAGCAAGGATTCTGGCTGCAAGTTCTGCAGTGAGCTCCCAGCAGCTCCAGTGCCCTCAGCCTTGTGTGAGCCCCCTGTATTTTCCTGGGGCTTACCATCTGCTTTGCCTCTCTGCGCTGCCACCTCCTCTTTCTCCTTGCTGGAGAGGCTGTGCTTCAGCAGGATTATATTTAGCAGCAGTACTGTCACCCCAATTCTTCTAGGTCTTTTATGAATCATTTTGTGGGCTCTGTTGTTATCTGTTTGACTTCCTGTACATTGCAAGGAAGCCTGTTCGTATTTCTGTATTGTCTGTAGTCCACAGTGGGGAGGAAAGCAGATTAACAGCCTCCCACAGATGCTTCTTCTTCAGCAAGGCTTTCATTCCCCAGATCCTGCCCTCAGACTTGAAAAACCTTGATTCTCTTTCTCAACCCATTTTTTGTCTCTCGCTGTGGTGGATCAATCAATGAAGCAAGTGTCTCTTCATGGGAGGCTTGGAGTTAGATGGAGTATTTAGGTCATAGGTTGCTTGAACCAAAAGGCCTTGTACGTAAGGGTGACTGACACAAAAACCACCAAAGAGCATTTGGTAAGACCTCTTCATTGTGCTTGCAATGACTAAAACTGGTTGCTGTGGGTGGGTTGTTAGAGGTCTACCAGCAGAGATGCTGGCTACTAGGCGGGGTGTATGGGGCTGTGCTGTTGGCTCTGGACTGAGAAACTTTTGCAAGGCAAAGCTCAGGCACAGTGGCTGCAACAGCAGGGAACATAGATGCTGGAGCATAGAAATCAGAGCTGCTGTGCCATGACCCTTGGAGAGGATAGGCACTGAGAAATTGAGATGGGTTTTCCTGTGATTATGTTGGCCTCAGTACTATTTTCACAGGCACCGGTTTGCTCTTTCAGGGTCATCTGACCTGAACGAGGCTGAAGAGGCTGAAATAGAGACAATAAAGCAGCACAGAGAGGAGCTCTTAGAGGACATTAAGGTAAGGACCATCATGTTCCTCCTGTCTGCCTAACCTTCTCAAAACTCTTCACCAAGGAATCTCTACACATAACAGTTCAGGTCATGAAGAAGTGCTCCTGAGCACTTGCTTTGGCATGATCCAAGCTGAATTCTGAGCTGCTGGCCACCCTGACATATTTGTCACCAGCATTCATCCAACCTGTGGTACTGTCGTCAGCTACCATAACGGGTTATTTGAGAAAGAGTGATCAGTTCATTAACAGGGATGAACTGGGATTGCATATTTAGGGTTAAGGAAATTAGTGTGATTTTACTAGGTCATATTGGCAGAGATTTGGCTCAGCATTTATGATTATTTAAAATTATCGATTACCTTATAATGACATATCAGTCTGAGTTACCTGCTGCATCCCTCTGTGTTTTTCAAACTTTTGTTCCATTCATGGACCTTTAACAAGTCCTCCTTGAAGGACCCAGTCTCTTTTGACAGGTGTGATGGAAGAACCTTCCACACAAGTTTCCATGGTTGAATTTGCTTTTCTTCTTTTCTTTTAGCAGACCTAAACATTTCTCCACTGACTCCTAAACAGTCTGAAAGTGACAGATTCAAAATCAGTCAGTAATACCACATCACAGTCATGCATTGGGCTGTACAACTGCTGCTCTTCTGCCTCCATCACCATGGAATGTGTGCTCTCATCTTGCACTGAGTTTACATGCACAGCATGAAGATGTCAGGATACCTGGAGAATGAGTGCAGTATTTCTTTGAATAGAGTAAAGGGTTAAGCCAAACTACCTATCACTTCTCAGGCTTCCAGACTTAGCATTTCTGCTGCAAAATCAGAATGGTGTCTTGCCTCCTCTTGCAAAACAGACTATGAGTATATGTGCATGTTGTTTGCCTGTGCTTGGTTTTTATCTCTTCAGATTTCAGGATGGGCAATGGGCACTGTAGGAAGCATGATATTTGAGCAGAAACACTACATTTTTTACCCACTGTGGGCAGAGAAAAGATGCTAGGCTACACTGATCCCTATTCTAAATCCTGAAGCCATTAGCCAGTGTGCATTGTCCAGTGGAGAAAGATGAGTTCAGGTGAATAGGTCCCTAGGAACAGAAATCTTTTCCCATCTGGATTTCTTCAGAATCTATTTAGCAATACCCTTTAACACAAAGACCGGGGAGGGGAGCTTGTTGTCTGGTGGGGGAGAAAGAGGAGGAAAGAGGATGGGTGTAATCTTGCCTGCTACACTGCCGAGAGACAGTAGAGAAGAAAATAACAACACTGATAATCATTTGAAATTCATGAGCTAAGATCACGTATTTGTGACAGTTGTGCAATATCTAACGCTTATTAAGGAACACGCCCAGCTCTGGCAGACTGACGAAGCAAAACAAAATGAAGGGTCAGAGTAAAACTGAAGTCCAGAAGATCTTTTGAATCGTAGGATATCGGAGAACTTCAGTTTCTCTGCTGGGTGCACACCACCACTGTCTCCTCACTCCTAGTTGAGGCAAAATTTGTCATGTAACAATCCTTCTTTCCTTGTCTATTCTGCTTTGCAAAAAGAATAGTTTGAGTGATTCCTGGAAGAGAGCTGTGATGCACTCTGGCTCTGAGGGGGACCCAAATTACAGAAGGGAAACAAGGAGATGCTGTGATCGTGGTTTCCTTGGTAACACAGAATATCCAGCCAAGAAGGCTATGGCCTGTCACAAACCTAAAGGAAACTGGATTCTGCAACCTGACTCTTAAAATTTGGCAGTGGTTCCTCTTCTTTTTGTCCTCCACTTTTCTTTCTCCATCTCAAGACAGGTATCAGCTCACTGGTATTGAGTGATAGAAGCATTAAAAACTCTGTTTCACAACGTGGCCATTTCTGGTCCACACTGACCTCCCAGTTACTGGTTCCACTTCCCGTATCCTGGATGTGTAATTAGGCTATGCAAAGCAAAAACTAGAAGGAAATGTGCATGATGTAAGGAGTCACATCTAACATTGTTTGAAGAATTGAAGTCAGCACTGGGGTGAATTCTCAGACTGATCCATGCTGGCTAAGCTTGATTTTCCAGCCCTGAATGACAGCAGACATGGGAATACCCTCTGCCCCTCCATCCCATTATTATTTTTTTTTTCAGCTGGAATCTCTTCTGGATGGGCAAGGTCACATCAAAGCTGTGCATGTTTCACAGACATCCTTGCCTGGTTCTGACAAGCTGACCTGGCCTACTCCTATAACTGAGGGAAGAAGTAAGACATGCTCCTTACATCTGTTGCTTTTCCCTCAGTCACCTTCACTCTCCTGATATTTCTTTTGCAGAAGTTGAAGGAACAGATCGCCCAAGTGTTTGCAGAGATTGAATGCTTCCAAAATGAGGAGAGGCAAGAGACAGACCATAATGCTGGGGAGCAGACCAGGCAAGTGGAACAAGATGGGTATTCCTTTGTTTATAAAGTCTCCCTCTTGATGTTGAGAAAACAAAAGCACCAATGGGATCTGGATCACAACAAGGACAGGAATGATGACAGGAATTCTATTCTCCTCTGAGATTTCTCTTTCTTTCCGGATAGTTAGACATTTTACTTTGGGATTGTCTGAGTTGTCTTGTGAGTGTCCTAAGTGAAACACCTGTATTCTAAGTTTGACTTCCCTTCTTCTTTGTGTTTGCAGCAAACTGTCACAGAGGGATAAACTTCTGTCCCTGGGTCGGAAGAAATTCAACATGGACCCTGAAAAGGTAGGATTTGCTCATTCCAGCTATGAGGAGAAAGCTGTGAGGAAGAGGTCCTCATGGCTACTGGTCCATTTGCAGCTGCCCATGCCAAAGGAACTATGTCCAGAGAGTGTGGGGCTGGTTTCCTACCTTACTAAGGCTCCAGTCAGTAGCACCTTCCTTCCTATCCCTGAGTAAAGTATTTTGATAAGATCAAGCTGTGTTGCCTCCCCACATCATGTAGGGCACTCCCCACAGAGGGCATCCTATCAGATGCAAACCAAAGCTAAAAGAAATAAAGGGAGGATGGTTTAACATTGTCAGTGTATCAAGAGACCAAACTACTCCTCAGCCCAGCTCTTGCCTTGTGTGAGGCTGAGAATTGCCCGTAATGTTATGGAGGAGGATGAGGTAAGGAGGTGGGAAGTTTTAAGAATGTGTCAGGTTCCTTGTTTCATTCAGAACAGAAGTGGCCAACCTGCCTCTGTTGGTTTGGAATTAGTTTTGGTTTCATTAGTACTAGTTGGACCATGGAGTGAGTCTAAATCCTCCACTTTCTGAGACTCTCACCACTGGGGTCTAGACCCCACAGCCTTCAGCCCTCTGCAGAAAGCTCTATATCTGCATTACTAAGTAGAGAAGATGTGAGAAAGATAGTTTTGTCTTCCTTCCACCTCACTGGTGGGCCAGTTTTTGAGCTCTGTAAAGAAAACCACAAACTGCACTGAACAACCGCTCATCAGCTGCTAACCACAGCTAGCAGCTTGGACAGCTGCTGGTCTGAGTGTCAACTTTACATGCCTCCTTCCCTCCTCTGCTGAGACCCTCAGGATGCTTTTCCCAGCCCACACTGCAGCTGGAGTGCATGTCAGTCCCTGGACACCTCTCTGCCAGCAGGAGCTGTTTTAAAGGACTGATAATGGTACTTCCAGCTCACGTGAGAGCAGGCTTCCTTTCTGTCTTTCTGTCTGACCTTGATTTGAGGCCCCAGAGGTGTCTGCCTCTATAGCACTGTGCCACGCTGTGCAGAAATGCTCAAATTAATTCTGACTCCAAACCATTTTAGTGTTATTAGTTCAATGCTGGTCAGCCTGGTCAAACTCCTATACTATGTGTCCAAATTGTTTTTAATTTAGAATAAGCACACCCAGATCTCTGTTTATTGCTCCCCTTTTTCTACATACTTTAGGTTGATAAGTCTTGCAATGCAGGGAACTGTCTTTGCCCCTTCCTGCCAAGGCTGTATTTCATCCAGGCAATGCTGATGAAATGAGTTCCTATCTCCAAGCACTCAGGGCAAGTTCCTGAGTCTAGGGGAGGTAAGCGTCAGGAATACGGCTGAACAAAATCTTCTGGGAGAAATATTTTCTTCTGGAAAACGGAGTTCCACCATCACTGCAATGATTTGCAAAATTAAATTGATCTAACTGAAATTTCATCTGGGGAAAAAGAAAGGAAAATAGTGTGGAGAAATCTCCCAAACATTTCAATTTCTTCTTTTGAAACTGCTTTTTCTTTGGGGCATTATAGAAATAGTTTTTTTTTTATATATATATTACAAGGCAAAGTGAATTGATTCTGTTGAAGTAGAACATTTTGATGGATCTAAAACAATTTTCATTCCTTTATTGCATTTTGTGAGGAGAGCTGCAGTGTGGTCTGGAGAATTGCAGTGTTCTTAGATACTGTTATGAATCTGAACCAAACCTCAACTTTCTGTAACTTTGAAAATCATGAAATTCTCTCTAAAATGGAATGTTGGCTGGTTTGCACAGCCCAGCTCAGACTCTGTATGTTTTTTTTATAAAACACAATCCATCCTTACTGGTTTGGGAAGATGGAGTTTAAGAGATTACAGACTTTTCTGTTCTGTGGCCTACAAGAAAATTATGGAGAGAAAAAAAAAAGTCTCAAGCCCACATTTTTGTTTAAATAAATTTTTGATTAGGTCTTCTTATTTTCAAGCAAACTTTTTTTTTTTTTTTAAGTTAATTTGGAAAAAAATGGCAATTAGGGACAGAACACTAAGATGCTTTGATTGAAAATATTAAAATGAACACTTTTAACTGCCTTAAATCTACCTGACTGCTTGGACTTTTGGCCTACACTGCCCTTTTTTGTTTGCTTTAGTTTCCCATTCAGTGAAATATTTCTCCATGTCTATAGATGAGCTGGGTGTGAGACTGACCCACTGCAGTAGATAAAGATGGATGGAATAAGGGTGGGGAGATGGCAGTGGCCTCTCGTGGAGGGGCTGGGGACTAGAAGAGGAGACAAAATCATCAAAACTAGTAAAGGCTGATATCAGGATATTGAAGTCCTACCTTTGTGACAGCCCAAAAATCTGTTTGACTTTGCTGTCTTGCTTCTCCTCCCCCAGGGGATCCAGTACCTGATTGAGCAACAGCTTTTGTCCTCAGACCTGCAGGAGATCGCCAAATTCCTCCACAAGGGTGAAGGCCTGAACAAGACAGCCATTGGGGATTTCCTGGGTGGGAGGTGAGCTACCCAGCCAAGATGAGGAGGCCCGTTGGAGGCTCTGTCCTGCCTGGCCCCTCTCAGCCACCCTTTTAGATGACCCCTGGGAGACCACAGGCAGGTGCTGAGACTGACCGTGATCTCACACTGTAGTGGGCTGGATGGGCAGAACACCTTGGAGGATGTCCTTTGGAGTGTGGCTAAGGCTGGCTGTATGGGCTACCTGTCCTTCCATCTGTACTGGAGTTAGTCTTCCCAGACAAGACTGGTGCCCATGCATCTTGGCTCCTTGTTGGGTAGAGGGGATGGGGAAGCTGGGAGGGAGCCAGGTGCATGTCGTCACACCACAGGGCATCCAAACTGAGCAAGGCCAAAGCTCTCTTCTAATCTTTTCCCTCTGTCCTCTCCCAGGGACCCCACAAACATTCAGATCCTCCAAGCTTTTGTGGCATGTCACCAGTTTGCCAACCTCAACTTGGTGCAGGCACTAAGGTGAGTGACCGTGTAGGACGTAGCAGATGGAGCAGGAACCTGCTCACCCACTGGGTCTTACCACGCAGGAAGGTGATGAAAGCCACACTGGGATGAGATGGGGCTTCCCAAGGCCCTACTTTGTGTGTTGGTTCTAAGCCTGTTTCTCTGTGAGGTGTTAACATAACCTTCTTTGGGAGACCTCTTTCATGGCCTGTAGAAGGTTCTAGCCATTTAGAGAGAAGATGGGTAAAGCGAGGTGGGTCATTTGTAGCTTCAATGGATGGGGGGATTAATATTTTTTGTACCAAGAAATATATCACTCCACAGTGTTCATTATGCCAGTGACAAAGTTAATTCTGTCTTAGAGCAACTCATTCTCTTACAGGCCAGCAGAGCACTCCCTAGGGAAAAGGATGTTTACAGTATGTTCAGTTCAGCTTCCTCCCTTTTAGGGAGTTTAAGGCTGGTGAACCCAAGGAATATGTAGAGAGAGAAACAGATCTCCTGCTTCCTGTGCTGTGTTGTTTCTGTGGTGTGATGGGATGCCTTCCTGTATTTTCGTGGTGTCTCATGGGCTGAGGGAAGGGATAAAAGTCCCTTGCAGACCGTCTAACCCTCTGACATGCTACTCCTGACAGACAGTTCCTATGGAGCTTCCGTCTGCCTGGGGAAGCACAGAAGATTGACCGCATGATGGAGGCCTTTGCCAACTGGTACTGCAAGTGTAACCCAGGAGTATTCCAGTCTACAGGTAGGTATGGGGAGAAGAAGGCCTGTGAAGCTGAGATCCACTGTTTCCTAGAGACAGGAGCCTTCATTCTGTGCATTCACAATGCACAGAGAGCATCACTTGGAAGTGTAGATGCCGTCTTTCGTATTCTCTTACCCTAAGTTAAAAGAGGCAGACCAGTTCCTGTGAAGCTTTTCAGTAGGCTGAGGGCCTTCAGTCCTCATTTTGCTACTGTGCTCCATCCCATCCCAACAGGGATTAGGCTTGAGAAGTGCTCCCAGCCCCATGTGAAGTGCACCTCATCACGGCAAGGATAGCACTCACAGACGTGGGTCTGTAGAAACTTTACAGCTAGCAGAGCTGTTACCTGACCAGATCTCTCCAGCTTGCCATCATAGAAGACCAGCTCTCCTCTAGCCCTCTCCGTCCTTCTCTTAGCGTAGGAGAAACCTCTCTATTCCTCCTACAGCTGAGGGTATGAGGCTGTTCACCAGAAACAGTAAACCACGCTACCTGTTAGAGTGGGGATTGATTTGCCATCTAAGATGAAAGCCATCAGTCCTCTTTTTCCTTTCTCATTGACAGATACCTGTTATATACTCTCCTTCTCTATCATCATGCTTAACACTAGTCTGCACAATCCCAATGTGAAAGATAAACCCCCCTTTGAAAGATTTGTATCCATCAACCGAGGCATTGACAATGGAGCAGACCTGCCAGAAGAGCTCTTAAAGGTAAGAAACGCTCTGGCCTCCCATTTTCCATCAGTCCTGTTTTCTCTCTGGCTTGGGGTCCACTGAGAATCAAAGATCCAGAGGTCTCAGTGTAATGCAGGTCTATTGACCTTCTGCCCTGTAAGGGGGAGGGCTGCTCAAGGAAAAAGGGCAATAGGTACAAAAACAAATCTGGAAAACATGGAAACATCTTTGGAGAGAGGCTGTACACATGCTTGTTCGTGAGGACATGGAACAAAAGAGACAGGGCTGGAGACATTCAGTGAATAGCAGTATGGGTTTAAGCAAGTTTGTGTTTTTAAGTGTGTCTGTGTGAGAGAGGAACAGATATTGAGAGAAACAGATATTGAGATACTGAGAGAAACACACACAAAGACAGAGCAAGTGTGTAAGAGATGGCCTAAATATACACCCAGTACATGTGGTGTGCAGGCAAGTGCTCAGGGAGTGCGAGACAAAGACAATCTATAAAAGACATCTGTGAGCAGCCCAGGGAGTGCAACACCACCTCTGTGGGAGGAAGTCGGGGGCAGAGCAGCGGGTGTCTGTGTGCTGTGTAGGTCTGGGGCTGTGTGAATGGGGCATCTGCCTTTTTGAGAGCTAGCTGGACACCCATCTGCTTTAGACAGCTTAGAAAGCCCTAGCTTCCTAGGAATTGTCTGTTTCTTGAGGATGTGTGCTTGTGTGGCAATGTTAACGTAGCCCAGACTATGTATCCCTTCCCCTTGTTCACACCTAAATGAATACCTGCAGCTTTCTCCAGTATTCCCATCAGTCGGGGCCTGAATTCTCTCACAGCATGGTATATCTTTGTGCAAGTAGCACCAACAAGCCCCAGCTGAGTGTCAGGGTCTCTTCCAGCATCTATAAAGCTCTTAGCAAGTCCACAGCATTTCTGATCACAGAGCATGAAGGTGCGGAAGGGGAGACAGAGACAGGAGAGGCACCTATTAGAAAAGCTGGAGCTACCAGTTTCCAGGGACTGTGCAGGCACAGGACCTGCCCTCTGAGGCAAGGTGGATGTCGGCAGGCTTATGACATTTGTCTGGTTTCACTCAGCCAACCTGGGCGGAATAACTTGTGCTTTGCACCAGGGAGGCTGCCTGCACCCCATCTTCGTGTTTGTTGAGCAGCATCCCCTTGGGATAAAGGCTTTAGGTTTTTCTCCAGGATGTCATTTATTTCATGCAATCTGAGGGAGCTGTACTTTTAATTTTTTTCATGACTTGGGTAATAAGTGATGACAAATGCCAATGATGTGAGCAACATCTCTGTACCCTTTGAAAGCTAGTAACATGCCTCTCTGTCATTCTGCCATTATGAAAGTCACATTTCGTGTAATCATCAATGCCAAATGCCATGGTTCTGCGAAATATGTCTCCTTGCGGTCACGCAGATGCGCGTGTTGGTCTCTGCACACAAGCTCTCGGCAGAGCATTTGATCACTGGATGGTGCACCACCAACCCAGAGCCCAAATGGGGCTGCAGTCTGTGTCACCCACCTCCCACCCCTACACTTCCTCAGTATCACCTCGTTGCCACCGACAGCAGTCCTCGCATGACATGCTGAGGTCAGTCACTGCGGCCTGTTTTTGATACAGGTACGCGGTTTTCTAGTTTCCAAAATGGGTCTATGTTTTCTTTCTTTCTTTTTCTTTTTTTTTTTTTTTTTTGACACAGGATGCATAAAATTTGCAATCACCTTTGAGGCCCTCTGAGGTGTACATTGAGGGCTGTTGTATCCCCATTACTCACCGTCCCCCAGTACTCTCCTCCCCCTTCACCCACCTGCCCCTGTGTAGATTGAAGGGCCTGAGATGGTTGTGTACAAGCTTTGTCAGAAGTGTGTCTTTCTTTCTTTCTCTCTCTCCCCCCCTCTAATGCTCCGGGGCAGAATCTGTTTGAGAGCATAAAGAACGAGCCGTTCTCCATACCAGAAGATGATGGGAATGATCTGACACATACTTTCTTCAACCCTAGCCGCGAGGGATGGCTCCTGAAACTAGGTAAGGGACGGGACAGGCTTCCTCTAGCTCCTCTGAGTCCCCTGCCCTCGTGCCTCCCATCACAAATCTCCCCCAGGAGCCCACTCAGCATCCCAAAACCCAGCATCTCCACTGTCCTTCCACTGCTGCGGTAGGGTGAGGCTGACACCTGCTGTTGAAATCTGCTGCCGAGCCTGCTCTCTCCTCCCAGCCCCTCTCCTACAGGGTCTCTCTGCTCCAAAACTGGACCCAGAAAGATATCCCTCACCCCTTCCCTTTCCCAGCCCCATCACAGCAAAATTGTCTCCCTGTGTGTTATGTGCATCCTCCATATGGCATCACCTCGGTGGGGAGCACCATGGTTTCCCCCTTGGGGCTGATCTACGGGGAGAGCTGGGACAGGCTGCCTCTGTGTGTGTGTATAGAGCAGGGTTGGGAGGAGGATGGAAAAGCGCGGGACTAATGGCTTTTGAACCTCACTGCCTTTAGGAGGACGTGTGAAAACCTGGAAGCGCCGCTGGTTCATTCTGACCGATAACTGCCTGTACTACTTTGAATACACCACGGTAAAGGCTTAACTCCAGGTTGGGAAATGGTGTCCTGGGTGGTTACAAGCCCCCAAGGGGCCAGGGAGGAGCAAAGAGTAGGGGGCAACTCTGCCCTTCAACCCCATGCTCCCAGACTGAGCTCAAACCTCCCTTCTCTCCCACCCTGTTTCGTTTGCTCTGGACTGGATGATGGGAGAGGCTGGACACTGAAGCTTTGCTGTGATCCCCTGTTAACTAAGCTCCCCATAGCAGAAATGCCTGGGGTCTTCCTAGGCACACTGTGCTCTTGTCACCTCCACAAAGACACACATGTCTGGGGAATCAGAGAGGCTGTGTATAGTAGCAGAGATGTGGGGAACGTTTTGGGTGTTAATTCATGTTTCCTTGCCTGCAGGACAAAGAGCCTCTGGGCATTATCCCCCTGGAGAACCTATCAGTCCGGAAGGTGGATGACCCCAAAAAGCCAGTAAGTCTCCACTGCTTGGTACTCTGCCAAAGCAGGCTCTTGGGTGGTCAGTGGGAAGAGAGGGTGCACACACTGGGGAAGGCTGAGGTGGCTGGGGGCACGCTCTGGCTCTGGGGAGGTGGGTAGTGCTGTGGGGTTTGGGGACGTGCCCAAGAAGGAGCTTTTTTTTTTCTCTCTGTTGATACTCCACCTCTCCATGAAAGCTCTTTTAGTGTCCAGCCCTTCATAGGATGCATGTGTTTACCTCAGAGGCATGGTTTGGAGATCTAACATAAGGGGATTCTTGGGGCAGGGAAGATGAGACTATTGCATTTCAAAGACAGAATGCTCTCCTCCCTTTTGAAATCTCTCTGACCCTGTCATCCATGGCTGAAAGCAAAAAAGCTTCCTTGCTTCCCCCTGTCCTCTTCTGCAATTCCATTTTGTTCCCTTTCTGACAGAACTGCTTCGAGCTCTTCAATCCCAACTGCAAAGGGCAGAAGATCAAAGCCTGCAAAACAGATGGAGATGGGAAGGTGGTTGAAGGCAAGCATCAGTCCTACAAGATCTCAGCAGCCACACCAGCAGAACGTGATGAGTGGATTGAGGCAATAAGGTGAGGAGACCAGAAGTGGAAGCCTGAGCCTGTCTTTGTCCAGCCCTGGAACAAATAGTCACACAATTTATTTGGCTACCAGGGAATACAGCCTAAAAAAGACAGTGGGGAGAAACATTTGCAGCCTAACAACTGCTTGATGTTGAGCGGTTTTGAGGCCCCTTTATGGAGAATCTCTAACCATAGCTAAATTCTCCCCTACTTGCAAATTTCTGGTCCTACTTTTTGGTGAGCTCTCTGGCCAGGTTCAGGTAGGTCGCCTGTGCTATCCTCCAGCATTAAATCTCTTGCTGTTGCTCTCATTTCCTCCTGTTTCCAGGACCAGCATAACACAGGATCCTTTCTATGATCTGGTCTCCGCCCGAAAGAAGAAGATTGCCAACAAAAACTGAGCCCTGACCTGGTCACTGGCAGCAAGAAAATGTATTTGTTGGGCAGCCTCCCTCTCATGCAGGGCACTTCCAGTGAAGAAATTCAGAAATACTGGCTCCCTCTGCCTCCCACATGGTAGGAAGATGACTGACAGGACAACATAGCAGATTTGCTTCTTCCTTTTCCAACCTGAAGGCAGAGGCACTGGGTGCAACCCGCTGAGGACTGTCAGAGCTGTGGGCAGAGCATTTCCCATGTCATGACACAAAGGCTCCACAGTGTCTAGCCTTTGGGTTCTTCCGTATAGCTCCAGGCATGAGGGACAGGATTTGAGGGGAGAAGAGAATGTCTCCAGCATGTCTCCAGCCCACAGGCAACCCCTCCAGCTATCAGATGAGGCCTGGTTATTTTTCTGAGGAACCATGTGGGTGCTCTCAGGCCAGCAAAGCATGGTCCGGTCAGTTGCAGAGTAGAAAAGCTCCATTGGTTTCTCTTCCTTGAACAGAAATGCAGTGGTTATAGCGAAGGTGCCACTGATAGTTAGGAACTCCAGGATGAAATCAGAGGACAAGGGAAGATAAGAAACCTTCTGTTCAGAAGAGAGCCCTCCTTGCCTCTTTTTATAGCCATGGGGGCTGTAATCCTGGAAAGCCCCTGCTCTGCAGCTGAGACACAGGATTTAGGAAGTAATTGTTGTTAGATGGGGAGATAAGGTGTGCACTGAGTGCACAGAGGCTGCTGGGCCAGGGAAGCAGCTCTGGGTCTTGGTCTCTCTATTTTAATACTCAGGGACCACCACAGGTCCCCCCAGGGAAGAACCCCAAACACTAGCTCTCCTCCTGGCTGATGGCTTCTCAGCAAACTTTGCTTCCTGGCACCAACCCAGAGGCCCAAACCGTGCATCTGAAAGGTCTGCAGCCAGCAGGCATGACAAATCAGAGGTGCGTACGCACCACACACACAGAGGCAAGCACACACAGAGGCATTCCCACCTTCACAGACTGGTTTCACCTGGCGCCTGCTGCTTTTGTCTCTTGTGTGAAGAAATAAAAGTGTCTGAAACAAGCCGAAACCTCAGGGCAGCGCGATCGTTTTCGTGATAAAAGCAGAGGATGTGAGATAAGACGTGTCGTGTTCCTGTGTGCAGCAAAGCAGCCCGAGCACCGCCGCAGCTCTGCAGTGCACCCAAGATGCAGGAGGGCTGAGCGCTGGCACAGGCAGGCAGCTCTTGGGAGAAATAAATGGGACAGGAGGAAAGGTGAAAAGGGGAATGGAAACACTCTGCGAGCTGGGAATGGCATGGATGCAAGTGCTAGAAAGCCGCTACGGGAAATTACACTTGCGGGGTTAAAGGCCTTGATAAGCTACTGCTATTTTATCCCTTATATTTTAGGGCTCTCCTGGTAAATACCGGGGCTCAGGTCTCTGCCTTTTCTCTTCCTGCAGAGGGCTCTATCCACCAGGAAATCCGCAGCAGGGCCTGCACCGCCTGATTATTCATTCCAGTTATTTTTGCCCGAGCCACAGGAACGTTGAATTAATTTCGGGAGGCAGGGAGTGTGTCTCGGAGTTGAAGCACGCGCGCACCCTGGAGAAGGAACGTGAAGGTTTTCTTCTGCAAATGTCTCCCGCGCTGAATCTCTCTGTCACTGACGTGATACGGAGTGAGTTTTTTGCCCACTGCCATGCAGTACATCTGCACACACACATCCGCTCTTGCTCTGGGTGCAATGCAGGAGGAAAGGTCACGTCCAGAGGTGGGCGGAGAAGTCAGAATCTGGCCCCTCATGCTGGCGACGTCTCCAGCACGTAGAAAAGAAATGTACAAGATGCCCCAGAGCCTAGGATTTGGGTGAGAAATGTCTATTTTAGTGCCTCTCAGGGTGTCTGTGTGCTCTGTGTGCCAAAAGGCACCCAAATGTAGCTCTTCTGCCCACAGTCTGGTTTTGGGAGAGGGAATCCAGGCTAAGCTCTTCCTAGAGCTTACCTGGATCATTCCTTTGACAGCAGAGACTTCCCAAGCAATTCCTTTTCCCAAATTCCTGCAATTCTCTTCAGGTTGCCTGTGTCCCTTCCTGTCCCTCCTTCCCCCAGATGCCCACACTGCATAGGGTAATTATTTTTAATGGGGTGAGGGAGGATAACACGTGAGAAGCAAAACAGAACACGGAGGAGGTCAGTTGTGTCATTTCCACCCATCAAAATAACCACAAGGGTGAGGTGAAAATGGACCGTGTTTCCTCTCTCTTCAGAGGCTGAGGTAGAGAAACAGAGGCCATAAGTTTGAGTGAACACAGTGGTACTTGGTGTTGGCCACCAGCAATGCAACATGTACGCTCGCTGAGTGCTCTCCCATACCTCATGCCAGCTGAATGCCAATGTGTCTGCATGAGGAGGGAGCAAAACGACAAAAATTGGCCAGGGTGCCTCAGGCCAGATCTATAAAATTTGGCAATCCACTTGTACCAGTGTGCCTTGGCAGCCACGCTTGGAGCTGTTGCAAACCCGTGATGGGAACAACTTGTATAACTGGAATAGCACCACCGGGCAATGAGTTGCTGCTGGACACCATCACAGATTTCCTTCTCAGAGGGCACTACACACAAGTGCATACACACAAACACACACACACACACAGACCTTCAGGTACTAAACCTGTCAGATTGCTATCTGGTCGATGTGTTCCTTTTTCTGCTCATAGGCAGCACACGTGGGTCACACAGACATGCGTGCAGAAAGACTGGCGTTTGCTCTCTGTGTGCCCAAGGACTCTTGTGCACACCAATTTGTTTTCGTAATAAATGTCTGTTTTCACAAAAGGCCTGGGAAGAGAATATCATGGATGTGTGGACTAGACCACATCACTGCATCCTGCCTCCTCCTCCTTCTTCCCTTCCTCCCGTCCCTGTTTATCAGCTCCTTTTTGGAAGGCTAATACATTTTAAAAAGGCTTTCTAGAAATTGCTTGCAAGCAGCAGAGATGGAGCAGCTGTGAGGGAGCCAGCAGACTCATTCAGCACTGCTTATATCTAGCAAAGGCTAGAGAAAACATTTCAGAGGTGGAGTGTGGAAGGCAGACTGGGCTGAATTCAGGACTGAGAGCACATCAAAGCTGATAGGGTCGAACCTGTCTTTTCACAAGGGATGATTGCCCTTGCTGATAAGAGCTCAGGAGCAAACGGAGGCCTGTTGGACAGCAAGGGTCTGCAGGAGAGGTGGCTGGGGTGGTGGGCAGTGGCAGAGCTGGAGCATCCATCTGGCGCACTGACCACTCCTGGCTGGCCTGGAGCTGCTCAGCTGTGTGTCACACACCCTTTAACATGAAGGGAAAAATACAGTGGCTCTTTTCTGCTAGCTAAAAAGGGGTTTTGGAGCAGAACTGCAGCCTTTCAGTTCCCTCCGTGGCTGTGATACGCCGTGTGAGCCCCACACCTCATCCTGCTGCAGCAATGCAGAGGTTGCAACCAAGAGGGATTGACAGGTCTTCCAGCTCATACCACAAACCTGGAGAAAGAAAAGGCTCTTACAAGAGCATCAGGAGGATGGCAGCCAGACTTATACCCTCTGGGATCAGTCATTTGTATGGAAAGAGGCACATCATTGCCGTATTTGAATGATGCAGTCAGATTTATGGAGGGCAACAGGAGCAGGTTCTTCCCGTCCCCCATCCCTTACGATTGGTGGTGGTGATGCCACTGGTTACCTGAGGAATAAGGTAACACACTGCTGTTCTTCCTCCCTCCTAAAACTTTGCTTGAATATGCATTTCACACAGGAGGTGCAGAGCACAAAGGCATAGAGGCAGCATGGCTCTCGATGACAGCACCACGACCTTTCTGCTGGGCCTTGCTCTGCCCTCATTTCTGCCTCCCTCCTGACAGGGGGCCAGCCTGGGGGGGCTGGAGGCAGCCTGAGCAAATGAGGGTCAAGACCTGTCCAAGGTTTCTTGGACTGTCACCGCTATCACATCTGCAGCGGCTCTGCTCTAAGTGCCTGAGACAGGGGTGCGCAGCGCTCTCATCTCTTCGTGCCATTTCCAATCCCGCTGCCTCCCTGCGATGAAGATGAATGTGGCCTGTCCCAGGTTATCATATTTCTGTGTGTGTGAGCCTGTGTGCAGACATCAGGTTGTGCTTGATGCTGTTGGGCTAACTGCAGGGAGGTTGTGTGCAGTGGGATGGGGGGGGAACACAACCTGGAGCAGAATTTGGGGAAGGACTGCAGTGGCTGTGTTAAGCCACACCGCAAGGTGAGACATGTAGCAGTCCTTCCTTCTGAGCTCCTAGGCTGACCTTAGGGCACCTACACGAGGAAAACATTTTCTGCTGCTCCTTTAACCATGGTGGGTGGAAGCAAGGTTCCTGGGGATGGCTGAAGAGGTGGTGATTTGTGCAATTAATGTCTAATCAGTTCTATGAATATTTATTGCTAGTCAGCAAGCTCCTGACTTGACTGACAGCAAAACCCCATCAGACCAGAGTCACATTCACAGCTAAATCAGAGCCTACTTTGGGGTTCACAGATGCAAAAGGTCCAAAAGGTATAACCAAGGGTGGCAGGCACAGGAACCTCTTCAAAATTATATCCAAACCTTTTTTAAGAAGAAAAAAAATATATATCTTTGTAAAAATTGTCTATCTGGGGAAAGGCACCTTGAAATTCACTGATATATTAGCAAACTTAACCTATGACTGAGCCTGAGCTTGTTCTGCCTGTGTAGGTGTGGGTGTGTGCACATGTGCTCATTTATTTTTTAATGCAACACAGGAGAGAAAATAAAAAAGGAGAGAAATAAAAATTCCTGCACCTGTTTGAAAAGTCACATAACAGTCAGGACATTCCTGGAGCTTGTCTTTGACCCTTCACCCACCATGGCATAAAATAGCCAGTATTTTGAGTCCTTGGGAAATGCTACTTTTTGGACTTTCTGCCATCACCAGATTTTTGATGTTTCTCAGCTTTGCTCTTTTCCAGCATCCCTCAGAATGACTTTCTCCCTGCTCTGATCCTTCCACCTCACTTCTGCCTCTGACTTCTCCCCACGGTGCCTCCTTCAGCTGGGTCCTCTCCATAAAGGTGCCGCTGCTCTCCCACCTTCCCCAACCTCCCTTTCCTTTCTCCTGACCAGCAGTGCTGCTCCTCCTGCTCTCCCTGCTTCCTGGCCAGGCTCTGCTCTGGGAGCTCAGCGCCTGCCTTGGCAGAGCTCTGGGGAAAACCCCCTATTATCCGTGCAAAGACAGTTGCTAAAACCTGAGCCAAGCTCTCCAGCTCCTGCTGCTCACCTGCAGCTTGGGTTTGTGCTGGAGGCTCTGCCAAAAGCCTGTTATTACCTAAATGAAAAAGACACGCGGCCCTCCCTGAGAAGGAAGAGGCGCAGATAACAGTGATTTGTCTGCTGCCTGCTGCCTTCTGACTGGGAAAAACATCCCAAATTCCCCCAGGGCTTCCAGGAAAGGCCCTCAGGAGAGAGAGGACAGAGGCAGCGCTGCACAGCGAGGGCCACGTTTGCACTTTCTGCATGGGTAAGATCCTGTGATTTTGATAGCAGGGTGGGAGAAGACCCTCTGAATTTGCACCAGAGATATCCCTTTCCTTTCATGTGATTGTGCTTGAGCTTATACAGGATTGGGAAAATACAAAATGAGAGCCAATAATAGACCCAGAATAAACAGCAAGGTATCAGGGGAGGGACGGAAGGGAGGGCTTGCAAGCCTGAAGCCATTATCATCCTGTAAGGGGGCTCTGTTCTGCAAGGATCTGGCTATTGTTTTCCTTGCTGCAGCCCTGGACTGTGCTGCGGAGCTGTGATTTCAATATCCAGGAGCTAATGTACTGCTTGGCCTCCTCTCCACAAGGCGTTCAGCAGGGGATAGTGTGCTTCATACACCAAGCGACTGGGGGGACTTCAAGAGAGGCAGTGGAAAAGGGCTTCTCTACCCTAAACTAGACCAAAATATCACCATGCTCTTTAAACATAAAACTGGACTGGAAAAAAATAAAAATAAAAATCTCATTTGAATGTTCAAGGGACCCTTGCTTTGTTTTACATTTTGAGGCTATTTTGCCTCTGGA